GTTTTAAAGAGGGGAGGGTTTTGAGGGAAAGGGGAATGAGTTTTGTTATGGATATGCTGAGTAGGACGTCAAGCTTGAGATGTCCAAAAGGTTGTAACATGGGACTGCAATTCAAGAGAGACTAGAGCTGGTATATAGATTGGAGAACCCATCTGTGTAAGAGGTATTAGAAACTATAGGGTAAAAAAAGAAGGCCAACAACAGAGCCTTAGTTAAGGAGTATGAAGTGGGTGAAGATCAATCAAAGTAGGTTGAGAAGGAACAGTAGATACAGGAGAACCAGGACAGACCAATATCAAGAAAGTCAGAGAGGGGCAGCTGGGTGGCACAGTGGATAGAGCACCGGCCCTTAAGTCAGGAGTACCTGAGTTCAAATCTGGCCTCAGACCAAACACTTGACACTTACTAGTTGTGTGACCCTGGCAAGTCACTTAACCCGAACTGCCAAAAAAAAAAAAGAAAGAAAGAAAATCAAGAGAGAAGAGTATCCAGGAGGTAGATGAAATATCAAGTGCATCGAAGGTCAAGAAGGATGATGAGGATTAAGAATAAGTAATTAGATGAAGCATTTAAAAGATCATTAATGAATTTGGTGACAATAGTTTCTGTGGAATGATGAAGTTGGTTCTGTCTTTAGAATTAGATTGTAATTTAAGGCCATAATGATATTAAATTCTTCATTGTCAAGGTCAGCACTACATAGGTTTAACAAATAGGTATTTACATGTTCTTATACTACAAGGAGTTTGATTAAACTCCATTTAAAAAACCCTCACTAATAAAAAAAAATCATTCTTTTCCGGACTCCAAAAAACAAAGCTACAATCTTCAAGTTATGCAGCATCTGCCTGTACCTGCCACAGGAACAGCTCACCCACTGGGCGGTTGGCACCGTTGAGGATCACCTCCGCCCTTACATGCCAGAATAGAGTACTGGCCAGCAAAATGGGGAAGATCACAGAATGCAGCAGTGATTTTTTTTCTTGTTTTCTTACCATTTTATTCTTTCAGAGTTTAGAAGAAAATGGACTCACGCACAGAACACTATACATTGTGCAACTTCTTCATCCTGGATCTTTCTTTTATCATTTGTATCTCGGAACTTTAAAAAAAAGATGTCTTCTGCATGGACCTTGTGAAAGAAGATGCTTTGCGTATTTCTGCATTGCATCAGCATCTTACTAAAATGTGAAATGAAAGGACTGTTGTACACTGAAATGCTTAAATGTATCTGAAAGCACAAGGTGAATTCATTTGTGATGGTCTTCCCATTTGTGCTGGTTATGCCTCCCCAGCATTTTGTCATCAGTATTCAGAGGGTGAGAAGTGAATGTAACAGGTATATACTTTTTTTTAAAAAGCAGCCTTAGCTTGCTGTAATCAGTTCTAGACCACTGTCCAATTCATTCTAATGAACAGAAATGGTTGCTACATGTAATAGTAGTGGGGAAAGAAATCTCACATGAAAAAAAGAATCATTCATTGTAGGCATTTTTGCCTCTTATTTTTGCTGGGTCATGTTTATTTCCTAGCACTTCAATGTGTCTTTTTCAGATCTCTTTCCCCAAGTTGCTGTGTAAAAAGAGTATTCTGCTGAGTGGATACAATTATACACATTAAAGCAGACGAGGAGTCTGAAGTAGCTTAAAGCAGCTGTTAAAACTTAAGACAAAATATATTTATAGCTGCAAAAAACCATACATGATAGAATTTTTGTTTTCTTGAAGAGATGACACTTAAAAAGCTGGTAAATTGTGCAGGAAATACTGGTTTCTAAAATGTCATAAAAACCCAGTAAGGTGGTTTTTGTTTTGGGTTTGTTGTTTTTTTGTTTTGTTTTGTTTTTTTGCATAGAAATTATAAAACAGTTGTGATCTTAAATTGTAAAATAGTGTTTTTGGAGTGTCGAAGTTGGTTCTGATGGAACATTTTGTTAAGATTGTGCAATGAACCTAAGGAAGACTACTGTATAGGGGTTTTTTTGTTTTGTTTTTCCTTTTTTTTTTTTTGTTTTTTGTTTTTTGTTTTTAAATGAAGGCTTTGCTTAAGGGTTAAGTACTTTATTGGAGTAAATCTGTATAAGCCTGTTCCCTTGGGGTAAAAATTAGTGCTTACCTGTTTCAAATTTATATTTAGCTTTTATTTGGAATTGGAAAAACACAGATCTAAATAAAATAGGTGAAAGCTACCTGACTTTGTATTCATGTGAAACACATAATGGTTGGTTATGGCAAAGCAGGCTGGTATAAGAGCTCCCATCAAAGCCATGAAGAGCTGGGTTTCTGATACATACTACCTCTATAGTATGACTGTGGGCAAATTGCTTAACCTCTCAGTGTTCCTTACAACTTTGTAAAACTGAAGTTGCACAACACTTTTGCTAAATGTTTCCTCACTGACAGCTCTCTACACAATGAAATCAGGTCAGTCCCTATCACTCTGAATTTCTACACTATGGGCCTAGATGAGTTTTCTCTTTTACTGGTACATAACACTTTATAAAAACTATTGGATCCTCAAAACACTGAGGTAGGTGCCATTATCTTACAGATGAGAAGTAGGTATACGAAACAGGATCTGAACTCAGATTTTCCCGGCTCTAAGGCCAAAACTATCCTCTTTCCCTTCACTTGCGGCCACTTTCCCTTTCTAGCATGAGGCTTGAGAAAATTATGATGCCGACCATAATGAACATTACTTTATTATCTCTCAGAAAATACTGTACATCTAAAAATGATGTTTTTAAGGCAGTTGGTATAAGTTTCACAAAGTGAAATGAAAATGATTGTTAAAAATTTTGCTATACTTTATAGCTCCTTTTCCTCTAAAGTAGGAAAACAATTCATAAATCTAGTATTAAAGAGGCTGTAGAGAGCTTCTCTTGACTAGGCACTGCCAAAGAAGTATTGATTCCACATGACTCCTTTGGTCAGTTAATGAATTTTAAGTGGAAGCTCAAATAATCACATTTACCTAAGAAAAACTACTTTTACAAGGAGATTTTTAAACTTGCTAGTTAGTACTGTTAATGAGGCATTCAGATAATTCCCTACATATACACGGGAAAGTTGATAGTAGGCTATGGGGACAAAATCCCCAAATCTGCTTTCCTGTATGTGTTGAGGGAGACGAGGGTTTTATTACATCCTAGCTACTATTTGTCAAAGGCCATTTTTGACTTGGTGCCCTTGAAGCTCTACATAAGGTTTGAAATCCATTTTTTTTAATGGTATCGTGGGCCCTGCACGCTTACAATTTTTACCTTCCACCAAAGTCACTGGTATTTTTTGTCACAAGATTGATTAGTTCTAGAACTAGAAGTACTCACCCCCTATACACATTGTCCAAAACTAAGCTCCATTTTATGGCACCCCACCACAGTATTCTGTGCTGGATGTTCTGCTTCAACTTTGGATATACAGTCTTTGTTTCTGAGTAGCTTCCACTGAATTTCACAACTAAAATTGTTTATTTTTAAAGTTACTTCAAATATAAATACAATGTAATCATGATTGCTTCTTGAACAGCTTTGAAGAAATTGTGCTTTTAGCTTCCTAGGTGTTTTGTATGTCTACCTTGTGCTACCAACTTTCCTGTGGTCTTGTTTGTCAGGTCCACACTTGCAAAGGCAAGAGTTTTTCCTTTCTTCAGAATGTGAGCAGCAATCAATATTTCTTCTCCTACCTTAGCCGGGGACAAGTACCTTGAATGAAAACATGCGGGACATAATTAATGGAAAGAGACTATAAAGGAATAGATACTTTACAACTGTTATCCAATGTTCACAATGAAACAGATTTAGAGCAGGAAGGACCTTAGACGTCATCTAAGAAACTCATTTTACAGAAGAGAGACGGAGATTAAGTGACTGACCAAATTCACACTGGAAGCAGAACCAAGATTTGAACCTATTTCCTCCAACTACAAATCTGTCATGATTTCAACTGTTTGGTGCTGCCTCTGATAATAAGTATTTCTATGAACACTGGGAATACCAGAGCAAAATCTTGTCCTGTTCTTTATATTTGTATGCCTTCGAGGTTTGATTTGACTTCTGATTCCACATAAGTGCATTTTAAGATAAGTCTCCCAGAAAAAACTTTAAGAAAGCATTCTTACACCAACAATATAAGTTTACTTCTGTTCTATCCCCATAGGGTTATCTTCCTAACCCTAATGCGGTAGTTCTTAAAATTCTCTGTTACCAGGAACCCCTTTAGACTCTTAAATATCATAGAGGACCCCAAAGAGATTTGTTTCTGTGGGTTACATAAATAATAGTATTATGGTGAAAATAGTTTTTACCTCTCAAAGCCCCAGAAGGGTCCTAGATGCTCCCATGGGCCCATTCCACTATGGGAACTGCTTCCCTACTTCAAAAGCAACTATTTTTTGTTTCCTTGCCAATATGTCAACAAGAGCATTAAACTAAAGAGGCTCTAGGATGAAGTAAAGAGAGATTCTATTTCTTACGTAATGGACCAAGTACAGAGGCTATTTTTGTCCAATCTTTTTTTTTTTCCAGTGAGGCAGTCGGGTTAAGTGACTTGCCCAGGGTCACACAGCCATTAAATATCAAGTGTCTGAGGCTGGATTTGAACTCAGTTCCTCTTGACTCCAGAGCCATGCTCTATCCATTATGCCACCTAGCTGCCCCCTACAGAGGCTATTTTTAAAACACTGACTGAAAATACTATTGATTAGAACTAAATTTGATCACTTTCTTCCAGTTTTTTTTTTCCTGTTTCTCACTTTGAGACATCTATAAACTTCTGGGTTCTGATGGGGCTTACTTCCCTTTTAGTCCATTTGGAAAATTAGAGTTCCAGTATTCAACATAGAGCTTCCTCTTGTTGCTTTGATAACCTACGTTTGTGACCTAGTAAAAGATTCGTGCCTGGTACATGGCAGACCTTAAAACACTTAAAACCAAGGTTTATTTGACTGGGCATTTTCCAGAGTCAAAAACTTAGTAGTATGTGGAGGCAATTTTAACTTTGTAGAACCTACTTAACAAAGAATATATTTAGACTTTAAAAATAGAATACATACTCCCATATTCCATGAAAGTCTCATTTACCAGTGTTTATGCCAAGATTTACAGCCTTGCCACCGTGGCCCATCTGAATTTATTGTTCATTGAACTGACTCAAATACAAGCAATGCTGATCAATTTATTCAGACTACCCTAGTTTGCTTTCAGGCGAATCAGCTGGACAGCTACCATGAAGGGTTGCCCAGCTGATAACTTTGGCTATAAATATTTCCAAAGAAGGAAGCTATGCTGAAAAATTTTCAAAGTGGTTTCAGAATTGTGTAATTTTTTTGTCGTCAGGGGTAAGGGACAGACTGCTAGGTTAAGAACCTTACTTGAGGTCTAAGAAAGAAGTGTTAGCAAGTAATCCCATTTTTTTTTTTTTTTGCTCAGATGGAATAAAATAAGGCCATTAGGAAGAACCAAGAAAAACCTTTTCTTCCCAACTTTCTGAAACTTGAAAAAAAAAGGCATTAACTTGAACCCTGCCCTATTGCGTTTGTAACATCAGCCAACAATTTAAAGAATTCATGACTTATCTTTATTGGTACATGTAAAAGGGGGCTTTTTCTGATGTTCAGACCACCAGCATTTTTCGGATGCTTATACAGTTCATTTTTGCAATAATATACTCCTTTATGGAATAGGAAGGTTTAGTTCTAGCTTGTATGTTAACCATCTGGCAGATATACTGACCTGAATATATACCCTCTCCTCAACACAACTGGCAAAATATGACATCTGGATGTCCTCTGCAACTCTTCTTTTCCTTTGGGATTTTATTTTGCAGTAATGCCCCATATTTACTTTGATACTGGTACAACTTGTCCTTGAAAGAAAATAAGGTACCTAACATACACAGTGATAAAATTTATAGCTTAAATATATACCAGTTAGGAATTTGTGGACAGCCTTATGATTTTCTCCATTAGCAATGTATAAATTAGGGGATAAGATGGCTATTTTCAGGGTCAGGGTAGCTCTTAGCACTAAAGCCATACTTGCATCTAGAAATTTATAAAGCTGGTTGTTTTTCAAACTTATTTTTATCTTAATAGTTCTTTTATCTCAGCTGATGTCATTTAAAATATATTAAGTACATACGTTATGTTCATGTCCACACTGACTCCAAGTATTCCCCTTTCTGTGTTCATCAAAGCAATTGCAGATATAACGTCTACCAGAGTTGCTGTTAAACCACCATGTAGAGTGCCGAACCTATTGGTATGTTCTTCTCCAACTTTCATTTCACAAACCACCTTTCCAGGGCTTGTAGAAAGAATCGTAACCTAGAGGAAAGATGAACACAACTGTTCACTAAATCAGTGCATAATTTTATCAGATCAAATAACAAGCCATACAAATGATTAGGATGTATTTCTGGGTGAACCTAAAGTTGACTGAGACATCAAATTTCATTCCCAAACATTGCCTAAATTTTTAATTACTGATTTAAAAAAAAATTCATCTTAAGGAAGAAAAAAAATTGAAGATAAATAACAAATAAAGCAAAACAATCAACAGAAAAATGTTATTGTTACACAATTGTGTTACATACAAAAGTATTTCTTGTACTGTATTAAAGCAGTAAACAAGTTATTGTTGATGTAAGATACATATTCATTGTACAGACAAATGAAGTCTTAATTACAGTGTCCTCACACTAGGACCTATATAATATTTAGCCATTGCTGAAGAGTTTTGCAAATGCACCCATTCTCAGCATTTTCAACATGATGACACAGTCATCATTTATGTATTGATAACTTATGAGCATTTCTTTCTACTTCTAGGCTGCCAATGACTCATCAGGCTGTCAATCAACAAATCCTCAGTTAAACACATAGTGTCCAAACACAGTGCTCCTTACCCTGAGAAGTTTACAATCTGGGCTGGATGAAAAGACTCACAAGAATTGGAAAACAATCTTTCTTTAAAACTATAAGAATAATGGAATGATGTTTAAAACCTTCAGCTGTAAATGGAGAAGGAAAGAAGAGAGGGTAGGCATATTTCTGAATATCTTAACAAATGGGAGGAAGGGAGACAAAGCTGATGAGTTGAAATTATAATTGTTTAAAATATAAGCAAAATGTAAAAGGGGAATAAAATGGAACTGAAAGGTTTTTTTTTTAAACAATTATCCCAAATAAAAAGAATACACTGGATTCCACTGGCTGCAAGAAGACAGTTTATATACAAGTAAATGCACATAATCATATAGTAAAAGGCAGTCTTTCCCAACCAATATACCCGGAATGATGAGTACCTAAAGGGGAAGGAAGTAATGTGTAAAACTGGAAAAATAATAAGGGGCCAGATCATGAAGCACTTTAAACAAAGGACATGATATTTTATTCTGGAGGTAATACAAAGCCACTAGAATTTAATAAGTAGGGGTGTAATATTAAAAATAGCTAAGTAGTTCCATTTTGTTTTTTAACCATCATTTAGTGAAGCTAAGTTTTGGCTGCTTCTAAGTCACCTGATTTTAAGTCACAAGTTTACTCTGGCTCCACCCTATCATCTGAACATAAGAATATGCCTCTACCAATAAGAAACCTGGTGTCACAATTACTTAATCCTGTTTTTCATTCCCTTCAAATCATATATTAACTGGGTAGAAACCAATGATAAGAGTTCTTGGTTACTGAGAGCCTTGGTCCCAGTTTGTTATACAACTGGTATACACTGGTTAATAAATAATTTCTTTATTGCAATGTTAACAGTTTTGGCAAGTTCTAGCCAGGAGAGGAAGATGAGAATGTGCACCAAAGAAACAGAGGGTTGAAATGGTCAGACCTTCACTTTGGGAGACTAAGTGGAGGATGGGTTGGAGTGGGGAGAGATTTGCTACCAGGAGACCAATTGAAGGCTACTCAATAATCCAGTTGAGAGGTGATGAGAGCTTGAAACTGTCTTGGGGTTGTATTAGTCAAGAAAAGGAAGCATATATAACATGTTACAAAGATTGGTGAAGAGTATTGTATAGAATTGAACTGGTTCATCAAAGGATCAAGATTTGAAAGGGAGAAGATTTTAGCCAGTATAGGAATGATGGCTTGGGAAAGCACTGAGGAGTAGAGGGATTAGAGGTCTCAATGAGGAAAAAGAACAGGGTTAAAGGTTGTAAAGTGTAGGGAAAGGTAGAAACTTTGGTCAAAGAAGGTCAAACAGTTTGACCATTAAAAGAATTTCACTGTTCATGAGAATGGAACATTTGTGGGTGATGACAAAATTAAGGGAATATTCATCTCTGTGTGAGCTAGTCATTAAGGGAGAGCATTTATTCTAGGGAGCAGCTAGATGGCACAGTGGATAGAGCACTGGTCCTGAAGTCAGGAGGACCCGAGTTCAAATCCTGTACTAGTTGTGTGGCCCTGGGCAAGTCATTTAACCCTGTTGCCTCCAAAAAAATATTCTGAAGTGCTCTAATATGAATAGGAGTTGGAGCAGAGAGAAAGACTGCAAGCCAGACACTTAACTCACTGAGAAAAGAAGAAGAATGACTTAGGACAGAGGTGAGGAACCTTTGCCTCAAGGTTGCAGGTTCCCCATCTTGACTAGGAGAAGGGGAGTGATCTGCTATGGGTGATAAATTTGGTTATCCGATTCCAAAAGTAAGAGTGGAAGGGGTAGGTAGATCTGGAATGGGACATTATAGGGGAAATGGCAGGCTAGAGTTGAGGTAGTTAGGACCAAGTAGCTACAATTGGAGTTAGCAGTCCAGGTTTCAGAATCAAGAGGATGAGGAGAGACGGGGTTGGTCATATGCCAAGAGACTGCTGAATAAATAAACTCTTTCCACTTTACAGAATTGCTTCCCAGTATCAAGGGCAGATATAATTACCCCATTTTTAAAAATTCATAGTCACAAAGCCTCCACACTATGCTTTAGAACCAGTGCCTCTTTTCTTCCCAAGCACTCAAACTTAAAATTCGTACATCATATTGAGCTTTGCAAAATGATTTACACATCTTCACTCATTAAAACCCCTGTGGGGTTGTACTCTGTACTATTGCCACTTTTTCTACAAATGAGTAAACTGAAATTCAAATTTTTTTTAATCTTATCATCACCCTCAAACGTTCTATTAATGAACAATGAAATTCTGTTAATTGGTTAAACAGAGTTTGAGCATCTTTGACCAAAGTTTCCACCTTTCCCTACACTTCACCTTTAACCGTGTTCTTTTTCCTCATTGAGGCAATTAATCCCTCGATACTTCCCTTCCTTATACTGGCTAAAGTGATTCGCTCATGGTCACAGAACTGGAATTAAGAGGTAGGATTCAAATTCAAGTCTCATTTAACTCAGTCACTAATATCCTGCACCGTGACATTGTGCTTCCATTTGGAATGTGCCAAGGTTTCCCAGGTTTCTACCATTTATCTGCTCAGTCACGAGTGGAAGAGAGTATAGGCACTTCCTGCCACCTACGCAGATGCAATATTTTCCATGCTTTAGCAGATGATTTACTGTGGGCCCCCAAATTTCATCATCAGGTCACTGTTTAGAAGCCTCCCTGTACTTCCCCGAGGGGATCATCAGATTACAAAGACACTGCACTGGCCTTGGCAGGTCTACAACTGAAGCCCTTCAGTCTGGCAAGGACGGTCTCAGAGACACCAGGGTCACCATTCCACCACACCTGGCAATATTAAAAACAGGGACATTCATTAGGTGGAGGAGGCGACATGGCTAATGGTAAAGGAATTCATTAGAATCTGGGGAAGGAAGGGAGAAGAAGGAGTAGAAAAGAAAAAAAAAGCAACCCGGCTACTGACAAGCTTTCGGGCTTGAGAAGACCAAGCTGTATCGTAAAGGAAGACAGGGCTCCCCGCAGATCCCAAAAAGGACAAAAGGTGCCGGGGCCTGCGGACCCTCCCGGCCCAGCAAGCCCACTCCCGCTCCCGCGCGTACGTGTTCCGCTTGGGCCACAAGCCCGCCGCAGACTTGCGGTACCTTTTCTAAAACTCTATCAAAGCCTCGCGTATCCTTGATGAACTTCATCACCTCCCGAAGGTTCTGCACAGCCGGGGGAATCATTGCCAGCCTCTGCCCAGATTCTCAGCCCCGCACGAAAGGAAAACCGAAGCGACAAGGCAAAAATAAAATACTGCCCAGGTAACTGTGCGAACAGCACGCTAGGAGGTGGAGACACGACTCCTCCCACCACGACCTCCAAGCTGACTCCAGAAGTCCGACGCCCGGGCAAATAAAGGTCTTCCCTAGTGCTTCCCGTTCCTTCCGGCTGTCTGCAGAGACCGCAGCACTCAAGTTCCGTAATTGGGCGCTGTCCTCCGAGCCTCCTGGGGATCCGCTAGAACCCTAACCCTGGCTCCTTCCCCCCAGCCTAGACCTGGCCAGCCCCGCCCAGGGCGCGCCCTCTTTCCCTTCCTCCAATAGCACGAGGGAGGGGTTGGAAGAGGAGGGAAGAAGGTGCGGTTTCCCAGCGGGTCTGTTGGTGCAACACAGCGGAGGAGGAAGTGGCGCCGCAGTCGGGACGCTGGCGGGGGGATGCGCCGGCGTTTACTTGCAGTCTCTAGCGCCATGGATTTGGACGACGTGCCGGGGGAGCCGGAGGAGTCGGGGTCGTCCGAGGAGCGCGTGGTGCCGGAGCGCCAGCGGCTGTGCGCCGTGATCGCGGCAGCGGCGTGGCTCAGTGCTTCCTGGCGGAGAACGACTGGCAGATGGAAGTAAGCCCCCGCTCCCCTCTCCGGGGCCCAGGCCGGGGGCGGCTGCGCGCGGCCGCCTCCATCCCTGTGCCTTTGCTTTTCAGAGGGCGCTCAACTCCTACTTTGAGTCGGGCGTGGACGAGGGAGCGTCGGACGCCGGGCCGAGGATCCCCCCGCCCGCCGCCGTCTGGGGAGTGAGCGGGGCGCGGGGTGCGGGGTGGGGGGATGGGGCGGTGCCCAGAAAAGAGACCCGGGGTCACGGTGGTGCACGGCCTGAAGCCTCTCCGCCGAGTCTGCGAGCATTTACTGAGATCCTGTTCTGGCGCTGAGCGAGGCTGGAGATGCAAAGAAAGGAAGGGGGAAATCAGCCCCTGCTGCTCCTTTCTGTGTGCAGAAAAGATTATGTGTACGTGTGCATTGCTTGTATATACGCACACCCGTATACATGCATGTATGTATATGTGCATATGCACGCGGAGCCTGCTAGGTGGTACGGGGGATGGAGCGCTGTGTCTGGGATCCGCAAGACCTGAATTCAAATTCGACCTCAGACATTAGCTGTGTGACCCAGGGCAAGTCACTTTAACCTCTGTTTACTTTAATCCACTAAAGCTAACCGCTTTAGTATTTTTGCCAAGAAAACCCGTACGGGGTCACTAACTACAGAACGACAACAACAGTACACGTGTATGTGTATATGGGCATGTACACATGTTAGGTATGTGTATTGTGTATATGTATAGATATACGAGAGGAATTGGAATTAATTTCAGAGGGAGGGCATCTGCAGATATCTGTCTTGAATTTGGATCTGGAAGGAGCTTTGGAAACCTTCCAATGCAGGGATTTTTGAGGTGGGGCACTCTAAGGGGTCCAATCAAATAAATTTCACAGGTCCAGGAAACTTGAATGGGGGAAAAATTAACATTCTTACTTCCTAAACTAACAGAAAGTTGGCATTTCCTTCAGTTTTGAAGGTAGGAAATAAAACGTTGTGAGAAGGGATTTATAGGTTTATCTAAACTTCCAAAGGGGTTCCTGAGCTAAAAAGGTTTAGAAAAACCCCAGTCTACTCCATTCTCTTCATTTTATAAATGAGGAGCTTGAACTCTAGAGAGTTTAAGAAAAAAACAAAACAAACAAAACTCTGCCAACTTGGGGCCACACAGAGCTATCTGTAAGTGAAAAAAGTAGAATTTGAACCCAGATTCAAGTCTGCTCCTCCAGATCCAGTGCATAACTGACTTTTGATATCCAATCTGTTGTCAAGTTTTGTTTTTTCTTTCTTCACAAAATCTCTTGTAGTGTATGACTCTTTTCTACTCACCCAACCACCCCTCCACTAGATAGATGTCTTCCAAGGTTCACACATCCTAGTTCATCCTCATCACTTCTCTCTGGATAGGTGCAGTAGCCATCAAATTGGTCTTCCTGCCTCAAGTCTCTCCCCAGTCCATATTCCACTTATCTGCCACAATGATCTTCCTCCAGCACAAATCTGACCATGTCACCTCCTCACCCAATAAACCTGTTACCTCCAGATCAATTAGAAAACCCTCTCCCTAGCTTTTAAAGCTTTTCACAAGCTGACCTCTTTCTGCCTGCCATTCACAAGTTGTCTGCTTCCTGTTGTTTTAGTCTTCTTAGACATTACTCCCCTCCTCATACTCTTTAAGATTCAGTGACCTCTGGCCTTCTTGCAGTTCCTCACAACATTTCATCTTCCCACAGCCTACCTTTTCACTAGCTGAACCTCATGCCTGGAATACTCTTCCTCCTTGCCTCTGTCTCCTGACCTTCTGGCTTCCTTCAGGACTTAGCTCACATCACCCCTTCCCTCACCCCCAATAGTACCTTCTCTCTGAACTTAACTTTCATTTACACTGTGTGTATCTTGTGTGTACAATTTTTTTGGGGGGGGGGGCATGGTGTTTCCTCCTTTAGAATGTGCGCTCTTTGAGGGCCAGGACCTGTTTTTGGTTTTTTTTT